AAAAAAATAAAAATAAAAAAAAAAGAGTTGGTGTCTCTTCTTCTCATTTTGAAGAAAAGGGGGGAAGGGGGCAGTCATCCCTGTGGGGAAAGCTACCATGATATATTTAATAGTGGCACTGCTATGCAGACAGAGGTAAGGTTTAAGAGTTCTCACCTCTGGGGGTACTAAGTGATGAGATGCTTGGGCAGCAAACAGAAGGATCTTTGTTACTTCTAAAAATGTAAGAGATCAGAAAGATCATAGTCAGCTTACTGTTCTGTCTCTCAGGACTATAGCAAACATGGCAAGCACGTTCTCACCTTACATGCTACCGCTGCTTATTCCAGCTGGAACACCCAACCCCCAGATCCCTGCCTGGCTCACTCCCTCACTTCCCTCAGGTCCCTGCTCAGCTGACGCCTTTTCCAAATGTCTTTCCTGACATAACCTAAACTGGAACCTGCCCCAGCCCTCTTTGTTCTTTATTCTTCCTTTTTCGTCAAAATACTTATCTTCACCTGGACACTGTATACACAGCACTCTCTGGATCTCCCTCCAGAATGTAAGCTCTATGAAGGTGAGGACATTCTTTATGTTCTCTGTGGAATTCTTAGCGACTAACTCAGTGTCCAGCCTAGAAATCACTAAGTAAGTGAGTAACTACAAACAAACATATACACATGCTCTCCCTTCAAAGGGGCAGTGTATACTAGGAACAAGACCTCTGGCAGAAGAAAGAAGTGAGGTGAATCCTAATTTGCCATTTATTTGCCGAGTGACCCTGGTCTTTTTATTTCTACACCTCCCAGGACTGAAGTGAAGATCTGATGAGATGATGTAGTAAAGCATTTAGCAGCACAGCGCTTGGCTCATGTTAGATGTTCAACAAATGCTGGCTTCCTTCCTATCTTGGTTCAAGTTCAAAGGCAAAAGCAACCATCTCTTCTTTCCTGCTCTTATGTTGTTTTTAACTAAGAATACACATGAAGACAATGATAACAGTAAGATAAAATTCTGATATCTATTACAGTTACAATAGGTCAGACTTCATTTTTAGAACTTTCTACCTGTTTACAGTATTACAAAAAGACTTGCTTTGAGAATCCAGTCTTTTTTCTTCCAAAAATAACTATTTCTTAAAGTTGATAAGCAGAACATTTAACCCATGGCAGACTGGGGGAAAGAAAACATAAGGGTTTCTCTCCCCTTTTCTGAAACAGAACACACTTTACTCCTAACACTTGCCTTTAATAATTCCAGAACAAAAGGCATGGGTGGTTATTCTAACCCAAGGTCACCGAAGGAACATGGCATGTGGGAAGCTTACCTCTTTGGTGGGGCTGCAGAAACCTTTGCACAAATGGATAGAAGTTAAAAAGAAAAAGCTGTGGAAAGAAGAATGCACAGACTTTAATATTTATGTAACTGAAGCTATAGAGTTTTATTTCTCCCTAACACAATTTTATCACAAGCTCACCTAACTAGGGATCATCTTTTACTTTTGTTTTTTCTCAACAAGCATTCATGATTCAGTGTGCTATATTACCCAAGGAAAGGGAGGCTATACTGCTGCCATCCTCATTATGTCAAGGAAGAAGAATGTACATGCAGAATAAACCAGGGGGAAAAAAAGGCAACCAAAATGTAACATTCTTCTACTTGTAAAATCGGTGTGGCTGCAGAACTTTTTTAAGTCTTCAAAGATAAACAGGATTATAGGAAGGAATAGCAATGATATTAAGGCTCCAAAGCAAGGGATAAAATAGTAACTCAAACCTGAATAACATCTGGTATAATTTAATCACCAAAACCCCCACAGTTCTCATTTTATTACTGGATACCAGTCCAATCACACTGGAGGAAGCTCTGTATTAGCTCGATATTACTCTGAGCACTCTAGAGTCTACCTAAATAAAGGTGACAGGGTCTAGTTATTAAAGCAACTGTATTTTTTTTTTAAATTGTAGTTGACATACAGTATTATATTAGTTTCAGGTGTCCAGCATAGTGACTTGACATTACTATACATTACAAAATGTTCACCAAAGCAGCTGTAATCTTTAACTACACAAGGAGAGAAGCTTTGGAAATGGATTGGTCTTTCTCAAAGTTCACCATGTCAGAATAAATTAATTTTTTCTATTTAGCCACAAAGCAAAACCAGGACCAGGACCAGACAAGTAATACGGAAGATTTAGGTTCAGTACAAAGATGGATGCTCAACTGTAGTCAGTTGTGAAACTCTAGTATCATTTCTATCAAACCACGCTTAAATTACACATCACTTCTGCTTTCCTATCAAGCTCAAATTTGGGCCTGACATGAAATTTCTGTGCAAATGTAACATAAATTCATCTGGTAATCCTGCTGTAGGTCTACAGCCCGTGGAGAAAAAGCATTTTATTCATTAAGATGTTAAGTTTTTCTTAGAAAAAGGGAACAAGTGCTTTCATTATTCACATGTACTTTCATTTTTAACAGAATATTTGTTGACACTGCTAGATTATCAGTAAACAAGACTATTTTACTTTTTTCTTTAAATAAACTTTTTGAAGGGGGCACCTGGCTGGCTCAGTTGGAAAAGTGTGGAACCCTTGATCTCAGGGTCACAAGTTCAAGCCCCGTGCTGGGTGTGATTACATAAAAATAAGTAAATAAATAAAACTTTAAAAAATAAACTTTTTGAAGAAAGCAACACATTCAACGATGTACAGAACAGCAAGTCTCAAGAGCGAAATGATAGGGAACAACCTCAACGCCATTGCTTCATGGCCTAACTTTTTGGAAATCTCATTTTCTACAACGGCAGTTAGTCTATTTAGTATGTGTTAAGTTTCCATATGTACGCACTTTACAGATATACATATATATGTATATAAAATACCACCAAGGAGCTCCTACAATTTAATTCAATATGAAATAAATGACCAGAGAATTCAGGTTTGCAAACACTGACAATCTCCTACCAGGGTGGTCTGGAAGCCAGGAAAGCTATAAAGGGATAAACAAACTGCAAAATGTAGTTACAGTCAATAAAAATACACAGGTTATGTTGACTCAGAAAAACGTATATGTAAAACAAAGTAGAAAAACAGAACACAAAATAGTCTGTCCACAAACTCAATATATGTATAATTTAACATCCATACTTACTGATAAGAAAACAAAGTGATAAAAATTGCTGTTTTGGGAGTGAAAGATTTTATTCTTCTATAAATTGTATGGGTTTAAATGGGTTTTGAGGGATAAAATTAAGCCACTGTTCTACCTTAGTGGCTTTCCTTTTACCAAGAATAATTCTATTTCTAATATTCACCGAAATGAGAAACATAATGTAATTCAAACCTCGTGAATTCCCACCAATCTGGAGATGAGGTTCATGAGCATCATTTTCACCTCAAACCTCTCTGTAGAGCTCTCTAGCTGCTTTAGTAGTTTTTCTGCAAAATCTGAAAAGAGAAGATCAGAGAAGTACACTGTGAGTCCATGGTCTGTACACCACTATCTAACAGGTGTAGAGAAAGGCAGTTGTTAGATCAGTGACTGTGGTAGAGCTGTACCTGAAATCTCTGCTGGTTAAGGATCCCCAACATTTTTATTTATTTTTTTAAAGATTTTATTTATTTATTTATGAGAGAGAGGGAGAATGGCGCGGGGGGGGGGGAGGGGAGAGAGGGAGAAGCTGAGCAGAGAGCCCAAAGTGGGACTCGATCCCAGGACCCTGGGATCATGACCTGAGCCGAAGGCAGACGCTTAACCAACTGAGCCACCCAGGCACCCCGGATCCCCAATATTTTTATGACTGACTGTTTGATAGGAGCTCCACTTAACAGTTCTTGGAACCTTGCTTTCCAAAGTATGGTCCACAGACCACCAGCAGCTGGTCCACCTGGTAGCTTGTTAGAAATATAGAATCTCGGGCCCCACCCTAGACCTACTAAATCAGAATCTGCACCGACAAAAGATTATCAATTTTTCATTTAGTCAAGCACAATGTCCTACCACTACTGTTTGTTAATGACATAAAGTAAAGAACTCTTCCACATTTTTCTTATTTTGCTGTGGACTGGGAATTACAACTTTAGAACATAATTCCCCAGGCTACAACCAACTAGTAACAACAATTACTGATTGTCTATTAAGTGCCAGGGATCTTACATTCTCTGGTAACAGGCAGAGGTAAGGCCAAAAAGGAACCTGGGAAGTTATAATTATAATACCTTGGGGATCATGAATCAAATGAATAGCTGAAAAGTTAAAGACCTCTGGTTTTTTCTTCTTTTTTTGTTTCTGAAATAAAACGAGAGGAAAATCATTTACATTACACCACACTATTGTGGGAGAGAAACGTACAACAAATTTGTTTCAAAAGCCTTTCTTTCAACTAGAACTAAAGATGGTTTTTGTCTTTTTACATTAAACCTCGGGAATGTTCCAGCAAATAGCACCTGTGAGACTTCAAAGAATTTAGAAATATAAACATTAAAAGACACAGAAGGGCCAAATTAATGAGTTTTCAGACTAACCATTATAAAATATAAAATGTATTTCACTGGTACAGTCTTCTGAGAAGATAAATCTAGCAAAAATACCCTAGTATGAGCCATCTTGATCAGAACAAGTGAAAAGTGAGTTTAATCAAATTTAATCAAGTCACAGATTTTGCTAGAGCTGAAAACATTTTGTCATCTAAAAAACCAGTACTTAAAAATTCATCACACATTTCTAAGTTTCCCAAAAAATGCCAATTCTTTATTTCAAATACTTAAAAGCGTTTCCTAAAAACCCCATATTCTATAGTCTAATGATTCCTACCTCATTTGTCAGGTACAAGTCTCACCTTGAGCACTTTCATAGCCTTTTCCAACCTTTTCTTGTGTTTGGAGCTTTTCTTCCCTGTGGCATATTGCACTAGAAGGTCTCTTGCTGTTGGTCCTTCATCCTGAAGAAGAAACTACTTTGTAAACAAGGAAAATCTGCATAGAAGCAAATAGTAAGGCTTTCAAAGTCTTCTTTGCATTTGTACTCTGCAACCGCTATCAAAAAGGAGCATGACTTAAAATTCAATAAAAAATATTTGCCTATGTGTACAAACAGGTACATACCTGGAGCACTGATTTTTGTTTTTATATTTTGCTTTTAATTTTTATCAAAGTATAAAATACAATGTTGTTTTTATTTGACAAAAGAAACTGGAAACACTATCACTAGGAAAATGCTTAAGCCATAATACATTCACATTCTGAAATATGTGGAGGTTAAAAGAATGAGGTAGATCTGTATGTACTAAATGCATTGGTATATCCATATATACAACACAAAGAAAGCAGGTTGCAAAATAATATACATATCATTTATATACATTTCAAAGATCTAATATACGCATAACATATACACATCCACACATAAACGCATGGGAAAGCAAATGGTTATCTGTGAAGATGGAACAGGGAAGTAGAAATAAGACAGGATCAAGAACTTTTATCTATAGTACCTGTAATTTTTTATAATAAGAATATATTATTCACACATTATTTAATAACAAAATGAATTAAAAGATCTTATTACATATTCTCATATTCTTGTTACCACAATGCTAATATGAGAAAGGTATTTTTTCTTAGAATTTCTTTTTGATTTTACTAAAAAGTATTTTTTAATAAAGAAAATTTCATGACATCATAAATCTTCATTTAGCCTTTTTAAAAGAGGTCACAATATTATTCCTCTCCTTCCCTAAACACTCTATGATATTGACATCATCTCAAAAAATATACTGGCGGCAATTTTCACTCTAAGTTTATATAATGAGTTCAAGGCATAGCTTTAGAACTAAGAACAAGGCTAAATGAATTTAACTTTTATTAGTTCTTTAAAACCAATCTTAGTGAACATAAGTGACAAATTCTAAATAGAATAAAATCTCAGCATGCAGAACACAATAAAGGATAAAGATAACATGTAAGTGTCTTTCTAACTTGAGCAGTCATGCATTTTACAATCTGTACTGAGAGCAATAAAGAAATCTGACAGACTACTGTAAAGTTCAGAAGCATCTATGGTTGAACGTATAACCTCAGATTCTGAGTCGCTGTCCTGTTTCTCCTCTTCATCTTTCCCAAGGAAAAATGTCAAAGCAGCAACTAATATCTAAAGACAAATGAGAACAAGTCAATTACTCACTCCAGCTTATAACAAAGAATAAATACTTTTGTTTACGCATTATTCATGCACGGAACTAGGATCTGAAGGAACAAGATCAGACTGATGGGATTTGGGTCCATTTTTCTCAATTAAAACATAATGTTGTTATACCATTGTTTGTCCTAAAAGTATATATAATTTTAAAAAATTATCTTTAGATTAAAACAGCCAGGTTCTACATAGTTATCTTTTAAGCAGACTACCAGGAATTTCTATATCCCCACCTCTGCCCCAGAAAGTGACATTTTTGTCTTTGACTTTCTAACAGAAAGTCAAACGTGTTCTTAAATTTCTTTCAGCTGTGCTTGGGCCCAATAAAAGAGTCAAGAATTACAGGGGAAAACAAACACTAAGGCTATCATTTGTAAATGATAAGGCTATCATTTACTACAAAGCATTTAAAAAACTCGTAACTTTGTTTGCCTCCTCTAAAGCACAGATGAACCAGGGAAGCAGCCTAAACACAGAGAGAGCACTACTAAACGTGAACTGCGTGCCCATACAGTACCTCTTCCTCACATGCCCATCTCCTTGGTACCCACAGTGCCTTCACACAGCCCTACAGACACTCACCTTGGTGACTTTAGAGAAACATGCAGTTGTGATCACATTGACAGTTTTGGCATCATTCCTGGAGTAAGACAAATGAGTGTTTTCAAAGTAAATTTTCATTCTCTTGCATTTTATAGCATTGACAATGGCACAAAATAAACAATATATATTTCTGACATGTTAGACTCCACAGTTTAAAAAGTTGTGGGTTGCAATAAATAATCATGGGTTGCCAAACAAACAAAAAAAATCATGGATTGCTAAATTGTCAACCCCAGTGAACATTTAATTAAACTTTAGCCCAGTCTTATGTCAGAAAATTATGCAGCCATTTAATATGGATTTTTTTGAAGAATTTTTAATGACACAGGAACATACTCAAGAGAAACAAAATGAATAAAAACTTAATAGTACTGCAAAATTCCAACCATATTTAAAAATTCATGTTAAAGGCGGCATCTGGGTGGCTCAGTTGGCTAAGTAGCCAGCTCTTATTTCAGCTCAGGTCATGATCTCAGGGTCCTGGGATCTAGCCCCGAGTGGGGCTTCGCACTAAGCGGGAGTCTGCTTGAGGATTTCTCTCCCTCTCCCTCTGCCCCTCCCCCTGCTGTGTGTGCACACGCTCTCTCTCTCTCTCTCTATATATAAAAAATGAATAAATCTTTTTTTTTAAAGATTTTATTCATTTATTTGACAGAGAGAGACACAGCTAGAGAGGGAACACAAGCAGGGGGAATGGGAGAGGGAGAAGCAGGCTTCCCGTGGAGGAGGGAGCTCGATGCGGGGCTCGATCCCAGGACCCTGGGATCATGACCTGAGCCAAAGGCAGACACTTAACGACTGAGCGACCTAGGCGCCCCAAAAAATGAATAAATCTTAAAAAAATTCACATTAAAGAAAAAACAGGAGAAAAATATCATAAACTATTAACAGTGGATCACCTCTGCGTGGTGAACTATCAAAAAAATTTTAAACAACCTTTCTAGCTCCTAGTTTTTTGTTGCAATGAATATTACTTTTATAGCGAAAAAAGACATGAATTGGGGACAATGTACCAACAAACCAAAGTTTACAGAGCCTGATACTTTATATACATGGGATAAACTGACTTGGAAATCCTCAGAGTGACAGAGCAGGAAGAGCACAGATTTCAGAGTCTGACATCTGGGTTTGAATTTCAGCTCTGCCCTTGACTAGCTACTAAGCTTATACTCTATGAACTTTAGTTTTGTTACCTATAATATGGGGATAATTCCAGATAAGCTGCATTATGTTGTTTTAAAGGTTGAAAGAAATAATATGAGGTGTAGGTGGCTCAAGAAATGGTTGCCAATGTTATTAGTTATTTGGATTGCTATTTCTAAAAATTTCCAACTTAATCTATGACAGCGGTATATTTAAGAGCTCAAGATCAAGAAAAATATTTGTGTATGTACTCTGTAGTAATTATAAATGAATGAGAGTCTCCTTCTCAAGAGACAAATACATACCAGATGTTTCTTCTGTAGAGTTCAATCATCACATCCAAAGATATCTTGGCTGCAGTTGCATTGCTGTCTCTTAACATGGTGTACATGAAATTCTGCAACACCTTAAGAAAAAGAGAAGAAAGAAGACTTAATATAATACACTGCTGGTACATAATGCAAACATGAGAAACAAAAGGGTACTTACTATATTCACTTTATTGTTCTTGTGTTTTGCATTTATATTCTTGATATCAGTGACAATATGTGTGTATAAAGTCTAAGGAAAGGAAACAAAAACATGTATTAACTAACATTTCTAACTTTGCTCAGTTTGGAGAAAAGTACAAATGCATGGGAGAGTTTAATTTTACGTACTTTTCATTGTATAAGACACCATAAACAAAACAAAAAGCAGCAGCTAAAATGCAAAAGGAAAGTTGTCCTAAAAAGGTTAAACAAGGAGTTACCATATAACCCAACAATTCCAAGAAAAATGAGAACATATTTCCACATAAATATTCACAGCAGCATTATCCGTAATAGCCAAAAAGTGCCCTAACTGTCCATTGATGAAAAGACAAACAAAATGTGGTATACCCATACAACGGAATATTACTTGGCAACAAAAAGGAATGAAGTACTGAGACATTCAACAACATAGATGAACTATGAAAGCAGTATGCTAAGTGAAAGAAGCCAGACACAAATAACTACGCGTGTTGGGTGATTCCATTTATATGAAATACCCGGCACAGGCAAATCTATAGAGACCAAAAGTAGATTGGTGGTTACCTAGGCCTGAGAGAGATGGGGAAATGGGGAGTGAATGTTAATGGGAATGGGGTTTCTTTTTGAGGGGGATAAAAATGCTCCAAAATTGTTTGTAGTGATGGTTGCAAACTCTGTGAATATACTAAAAACCCCTCAACTGTACACTTTCAAAAGATGAATTGTATGTGAATTATATCACAATAAAGTTATTTTTAAAAAGGAAAATTGCTCCATTTACTTGGCCCCTAACTACCACTGGTGCCCAAAATATACTCCCATAGACAACTTTTATCTCACAATTAGACCAAGAAGTACAATTGCTAAAATCAAATGGTGGCAGTCTCTTAACACTCAGAAAAAAAAATTTTTAAGTTAATAAATGTAAACTTAAATTTTTCTTTCTTCAATTTCTTTCACAAACCTTCAGCTCTGGTCTTACTTATACAAGCAAATACAAAGTCACAGGGAAATATTAGTAACAAAAAAAGTGTTTTGGGAGATAGGGTGGGGGCTGTTATAGCTAGGAGTGTCCAGTCCATGCTCTGATTTAGCTCGTCAGTATAGTACAGTTGAAAAAGGCATGGGTTCTGGAGCCATACTGCCTGCCTGGGTTTATATTACTGCCTCCCCACTAACATGGCCCATGATTCTGGGCATCTTACTCTACCCTCTTTGTGCCTCAGCCTTTTCATTTATAAAATAATAGTAATAATAAACCCAATCTCATTTTGTGAGTAAACAAATAAATATGTAAGAAGCTCTAAATGGTACCTGGCAAAAAGTAAGCACTCAATAAATGTTATCTATTAGCACCATATTGTATGCACACAAACATTGATTTTTTTCCTATTAAAATTATTCTTAACCGTATCCAATAACGCGAAGTATCAAGAATTCAATCTACAAGTTTAACATCACTGCAAGAAAAATGAAATATAAGGGGGGGAAAGCAATTTTGCTCTTTACCTTTCGCAGAAGCTTATCATGGCAACGCAGAAGTTCAAAGAAGAGTTCTAGCAAACTTGATGGGTTGATGAGATTCTTATTTCTCAGCAAGATCAAAGCTTTGCAAAATGTCTAAGGAAGGAAGAAAACATACTATATAATAATGATGAAATTAAGATGAGAAAAGGGAGAATGTACACCCCAAAAGAGCATGCTGTCTTCTACTAATTAGGCACTATTCTGGGCATTAGAACAGAACAGTCAGTCTCTGCCCTCATGGACCTACCACTGGGAGTGGGGCAGGAGAGCGGATAGAGGAGCAAGGAAGCACATAAACAGGTGCATCTCAATGATATGTGTCATGAAGAAAGTAAAACAGGATAATATAAGTGATACACAGTGACTGAGGGAGGGCTACTTTACACATGGAGTTGAAGGAATGTCAAGATATAACAAACCCGGGCCCCTGGGTGGCTTAGTCAGTTAGGCATCTGCCTTCGGCTCAAGTGATGATCTCAGGGTCCTGGGATCGAGCCCCGAATCAACTGAATCAAGCTCCCTGCTCAGTGGGGAGTCTGCTTTTCCCTCTCCCTCTGACCCTCCTCCCTGCTTGTGCCCCGCCGCCCCCCCGCCCCC